AAGTTCATTTCTCTGGCATTAGTATAAAAAGAGTAACTTGTTGCAGGCTTGTAAGTCATTATTCCCAAATGCTGAAACCATTTGAAATATTGACCTTTCAGATCCTTCATTCAGAGACATTCCGCAGCCAACATTCTCCACAGCTCAGCCGTCTACCTCAACGCCCATTGGACTTTCTTCTGTAAAAAAAGATCCACTGCAGCAACAACAGTCTTTATCCGGAAGTGTTCCAAGTACCAGTTTTGAAAGGTAGGTGGAGTAAGGAGCCCCCTGAGGGCATTCCACTAGGCAAGTAAGCCTCTGTAGTACTATATTCACCACCCTTTGAACCCCAGGATGGGTGAGACCTGGATGATGCATTAATTAGCACTATAGGCAAGCTTCTAACCTAGAGTTTCACGTGTCTCCTTACCCAAGACAGAATTCTCTCCTGATCGTGCACTTTGTACTTAGCTCACCAACCACACAAGGTAAACCATCCATTGTAATAAAATTACTGAGCATAGCCTCTTGACCAAGGCACCTTCTTTAGACATTCTAATCCCTTCCCCCACACCCCAAAGATCACATTTGGGTAAAAATATTTATTATTTATTTTATTAGACTTCTACCCCGCCCATCTGGACCAAAGGTCTACTATGAAATTTACAAAGGTCTATAAAATATACAAAGTGTTATTAAAATTATTAAAAAGTATAACAAATTCAAAAAGGTAGTTGTACAGTTTCTAAAAGCAAAGCAAAAGCAAGAAGCAGTGCATATTCAGATAATTAAGTGAGCCATATGAAAGCCCATAAAATAATAAAAGCTAACTAATTTTGCCTAAAAACTATTTACCAGCTAAGTAGTCATGATTGAACTTCTTCTCCTGCATCTCTATCCCTAATCCATCATCATAATCAGACAGATAGATAGATGAATAGCTAGCTCCTAACAGCCACTGCCTCTTGCTAGATCTTAAATAGATGTTCTCCCAACATGATGTTATCCAGTCAGGTTCAAGTCATTTCTTCAATAATTTCACCCTCAAAATATAACTTCTTTCAGCCCCTCCTTTCAGTTCGTGTCAAAGTCTGTGCTGACAAGCAATTAAGAATGTGATGTCTAGGCTCAGCATGGGTTGTCCTTGTTGCTGGAGCAGAGCAAAACAAATCTTCTTTCTCAAACGTTCTCCCAACATGATGTTATCCAGTCAGGTTCAAGTCATTTCTTCAATAATTTCACCCTCAAAATATAACTTCTTTCAGCCCCTCCTTTCAGTTCGTGTCAAAGTCTGTGCTGACAAGCAATTAAGAATGTGATGTCTAGGCTCAGCATGGGTTGTCCTTGTTGCTGGAGCAGAGCAAAACAAATCTTCTTTCTCATGCAGATAAATGCCACCTGGCACAGCTTAGAGAAGTACAGCATAGCCCATCTGATTTCCTCACAGGTGGTGATGGAGCAGAGCAAAATAAGTCTTCTTTCTCATGCAGATAAGTGCCACCTGGCACAGCTTAGAGCATAGCCCATCTGATTTCCTCACAGGTGGTACTCTCTGATCCCTTGCAGTAAGTAGGATGCAGTCTGAGTCACTACAGATGTGTGATTTTTTTTTAACTTTTAGAAAATGTATGCCACCTTTGGATCCAGATAGTGATGCCAGTGGCTGGAGATCGAGGTCACATTCCGAAGAGCTGCTGCAGTCTATAGGAACTACTTCATCGATTGACTCATTTATGATTGAAGGTATCCTGGGAACTCAATGTGAGACAATTTGCATATGAAAATGTTTCCTTTATTAATAAGCCATGCAAAGTTCTACTTTTTCTGGAGAAAATAAAAAAGAGACTGTACAGTATATGCAGTCATTACTATGTACATTGTCTAGTAGATTAAAAAGAAGATGAAGGAATGTTCTGTGGGTGATCTAATCTACTTTCTAATCCCTTTAAGGCTTA